GGCTCACCCCGCGGTCCCCGCGGCCGCCAGAGGGTGGCAGAGGCGCGGGCACCGCCGCTCTGCTCGTCCTCCCGGCCGCAGGGGAACACCTGGATTTCTGCGACTTGCCCTCAGTGTTGCCCTCAGATTACGCTTTCATAGCGGACATCCTTTTGCTAAGGCGAGAAACACTAGGACGACGGTTTTTTTTCTACCCCCGACAACCCCAGAACTGTGTTTCTCCATCCCCCACCCCAAACACGCCTCGCCAACACTTCGCGGTGGTGACCGCGGTGCTGCCTTTCAGCCTGTCGCGGTAGCTAACCAAACCCAAACCCTTCTCACAAAGACAGCACGCAAGGGGCTGGGAGGAATCCGCAATGAGACGGGAGGAGGGGAAACGGCACGACGGAGCCAGGGAACTGCACCCCGTGCGAGGGGTGCTGGGCAGCGCAACGAGCAGCGGGGACGTGTCCTTCCTGAAGGACTCGAGGGAAGAGCAAAAACTTACACGCCCCATTTTGGAAAGGAGACCGGCCGACTGGCAACATTAAGTAGCCAAGACGATTGCTCTGCCGAGCACCGCTACTGTCTAGGAACTGGGCGCGTAACGAAAACACCGACAGCACAAACCCCAGCTTTTAGACCTAGCTTTAAAAGCATTAGCCGCCCTAGCTGACGTGACCTTTTCCCGTCTATTCCCGGCTATCGTACTGAAGGTGGTTTCAACCAATCGGGCAAAATGTTTGCTCAGCGCAGCGCGTGAGGAATAACAATATAACTGTGGCTAATTGTCTTTATAGACGTAAACAATCATTCATAGGAAATCGTGGCAGGATCATGCAAAGAACTCCTAAGCCATCAGTCCCTGCAAGGCGCGACCCGGCTGGGTCCGTGCCCGGCAGGCACACAGCCTGTGCGCCCAGGCCTTCCCGGCTGGCCCGCCAGCGCTGCGTGGGTCTGGAGCACACAGGCGCCTTTTCACACAAATCTGCACATCCTCCCAGGAGCCGAGGCCCGCCAGGGGAAGGAGCCAGGCAACGAAGACCAGCGGGCTTTCCGCGGCACGCTGGAAGCGAGGGTCCCTCTGGCACCTCCCGCCCCGCCCGCCCC